GGAAGGAAGGAAGGAAGGAAGGAAGGAAGGAAGGAAGGAAGGAAGGACCAAAACTTCCTTACCTGCCTTTTTTTCAAGGGCTCAACCACTATTCTGATGCAGAGTTCCAGATCACTAAGATAATCTCTTTCTGTTTGGAGTATTTCTGCAATTATCTTTTGCCTTCTGGCCATCATTCGCTTAATCAGTTGTTCTTCAGTTTCTAGGGGTAAATCGACTGGTCCTACAGATCCTGCATGGGGTGCCATCTTTTCTGTAAACAAACAAACAAACTTTTGCTTTAAAAATGGGTTAACAACTTGTTTAGAGCTAAATGAACCACACAAAGGAACAGCTGCACATGGGAATGGCACACAAATCCAGAAGTTTGCACCTGATATTGTATCAATGGTCATGAACGTGATCTAGTGGCTTACTTCATGCCCAGCTTGGATTTAGCATTGCATGCAAACGTGTTTATTGGCTTAGTTTATACATACTGTAGCACTAAGCCATACTCTGCTTTTCTTTGATTAGATTCATCAGGTGAATCCAGCTACTTGCTGACTGTGAATTATGACATAGCACATTGTGAGATCCTAACTACTTGGGTGTTGTTCCATAAAACATGGTTAACAAAAACATGGTTTGGCTGCATATATTTAATAGGAACTTTCATATAGACAAAACAGATGTTCCTGAATTCAGATAAGTATAGGTAGTCCTCATTTATTGACTGCCTCATTTAGTGAAACTTTGCAGTTGTAACAATGATGAAAAAGTAATTTTATGACCAATTGTCACATTTACAACTTTCACAAATCTGCAAAGGAAAGCTGAAATAAGATCACAAGGACAGTTGCTGTTTCATTTAATGCCCACTTCACTTAACAATAAAGAGATCCATCCCAATTGTAACTGCTAAATGAGGACTACCTGGACACATTTATGGCCACAGTCTCATAGAATGTGAGCTAATCTTACCTCCCTGTTTTTTTCCTGAGTTTATGTTATACTGATCTTTCTGTTGTAATAATTTGAAACAATACTCAGGATATTCAATATTATTTTTATACACTTACTTGGATTTAACACTTTAGTCTTCATTAAGTGAAATGAACACCCAGGTTTATCTACCTGAATTAATATCCTCCATACTGTTGTTTCCCTCTTTCCTCCTTCCATCCCATTTATTGGTTCTTCTCCAATCTGAACTTATATTTTTCAGCAGAGAAAAGTATTTTCTTTATGTTACTTTATAAAGCACAAGTAGTGCAAATGAGAAACACCTACTGTCAAAGAGAAGGCCTTAATTTGTATTGCATAAATTAAACTTTTGAAAATAAGTCAGTGGGAATGTCCACAAGATATGCTGTAAAAAAACCCACGCTTTTTATCCCATGTTTATTGTTTTTTTTAGAAACAATTCAAGGCAGAAAACATACCTAATGCTTCTTTCTCTTCCTATTTTCTCTTCAATCACAACCCTGCGATGTGAGTTGGAATGGGAGAGAATAACTTGCCCAAAGTCACCCAGTTGGCTTTCATGCTTTATGCTGGCCACACCATAATACAGAAGAATGTTGTTTGGCTGTCATATAAGCTACCTAAAACAATTAACTGAGTGAAGTATACATTAATTTATTAAATTTTAAAGCTGACCAACAACTTCGGTTTTCCAATAAAGAGAAAATTGTGTTTAAAAATGCAGTGTTAAACAAATCAATGTAATAAAACCATAGGAAGCCTTCATACAATTAAAAGCAACAGCACCATTCCTAAAATGCCAAAAACTAAAGAGATATTAATCTCAGCTACCATGGCTCTGGTAATTAAATCTCAGCTCACTTCTATAAAAGACTTTGGCACCAGTGCAGTGCTTCTATGATCAGATGCCATTGTCACTGTTGGACCATCAAGTCTATTTACTTCCCAATCAGCTGAAGTACAGCAGATAGGGCAGATTTTATGAGATGTTGCACCGGGGAGTCAGAATTTCTGCTTTTCCTGATCTCTTCCAATCTCTGTCAAGAAAGTTTGGGCTGAATAGCCATTGTTAACTGGGACTTCCCACTGTTGAGTCTCATCCACTCACCTGTAACACTTGCAGCAGTGGTGGGATTCAAATTTTTTTACTACTGGTTCTGTGGTTGTGGCTTGGTGGGCGTGGCAGGGGAGAGATACTGTAAAATCTCCATTCCCTCCCCACTCCTGGGGGAAGGTTACCACCAGTTCTCCAAACTATTCAAAATTTCCGCTACTGGTTCTCCAGAACTGGTCAGAACCTGCTGAATACCACCTCTGAACTGCAGGGATATTTTACAAATCTGCCAATAAAGAAAAACTGAAGGTAGAGTCAAGATTGGATTTTGCTCACCAATGGTGACCTTGCAGGAGTTCTGTGGGACTTGTGTTTGCAGGCTGAGAACAAATGGCAGTCAGCCTCGAATGTTTCTTAAGACAAGGAGAGTGAAAATTGTGGCTCTTTGAAGGTAAATTGGACTCATTTTGCAGTGTAATAAAATGTGTAATTTTATTACCTTATCCACTTTTGAAGGTTAAACATTTTAATTGTGACTTAGAAGTAGTTTGAATGAATGCCGATGCTTAGCAGCCATTTGAAATGACAATGGACCTCCCAAGAGCTATTTTCTAAGAAACTTTGAAACTCAGACCCAGTTTCAAAGTTCCAACGCCCCCAACCAACCCTCGCAGTCACATGATTGGGCCCTTGGCACTCTGCCCACATTTATAACTGTTTGGACTGCAATTTGTGACCTTTTTTTTTTGCCAGAAATTGGTGTTTATTTTGGTATAATGGATTCATTTAAGACTGTGCCATTTGTTTAATGATTACAACATTCATTTAATGACTACGTCATTTGCTTAACTGCTACAAAAAGGATAGTAAAATTGGGCACAGTCACATGTTGTCCTGCTTAATGACCAGCACAACTTACAACTGAAATTCTCGGCTTAATTACAATCATGATTTGAGTACCTGTACATCTCTCTCTCACACACACACACACAGACAAAAGTACAAAAGAGAAACATCTTCTGTAACACATATAAGATTTCACGCCCTACCTGTAGGGATACAAAAATTTGTTATGTTGGGAGTAGAAAGTGCGATTTCTACATTCAGATAAGATTGTGGATACCAGGGGAATTGCTGAAAATGTTAAAGCATGAAATTTGCATAAATGTCTCTGAGTGCCTATTGCAAACACAAGGCAGGAAACCACCTCTCTTTCCTTTGTGTTCTCAGCAGAGAACACTGGAAAAAAGCAGGATTAGTTCTGGCCACCTTCTGTTATGAAATACAACAGGAGCTCAGCTTGCTTGTCCTTGGAGGTGCCAGGTTACCTGCCTGTCAAGCTCTCCCTGGAGAAGTGACATTACAAATAAGAAGCCTCGGGGAAACATAAAGAAAGCTTTGTGTCAGGAATCAGGCTAGATTTTAATAAATAAAACCATTCCCTACATTTTTCTGAACAGGTTCAAAGGAAGAGGGGTATATCTGAGCAAGGAGAGGATGAAGAAAAGGCCAGGGGAAGGCAAGTGGGTTGCCAGGTGGGAAACTCCAGGTTCTGCAACATTTCTATGGGAATCTGCTTGAAAGATTTGTCTGAGGATGACAAAAGCTTAGATAGGCCCTGAGGGAAGGCTTCTACAGAGGAGAAGTACTAAGGGTGTGGATTTTCTACTCTTAAAAAGAGGAATTAGTAAATTGCAGAGGAATATTCTTCCAGTCCAAACAAAACAATTTCCAAGCCACTTTTAAAGTATGCAAAGATCTTTTTTTTTCAAAAAACACTAGACACCTTTGATATCTTATTATTTGAAAACATATGTGGAAAGATAGATATATCTGTGTAGCTATTTTTTTCCAATTTTTTTTTGAAAGACACATAGTTTACAGGAAAATCAGTTTTCGTGGCTTATGTTTGCTGTTTAACATTAATGATTTGGTGCTTTGAATTACCGTATATACTCGAGTATAAGTCGACCCGAATATAAGCCGAGGCACCTAATTTTACACCAAAAAACTGGGAAAACTTATTGACTCGAGTATAAGCCGAGGGTGGGAAATGCAGGAGCTACTGGTAAATTTCAAAAATAAAAATAATTAATTTGGCAAACGATCTCACTATCATGAAAGGTTTAATTGATTCACTAACCCAAAAGAAGAAGATGATGATGACAGCGGGAGGCAGGAGTCACTCTCTTCCCCTCCCTCGGAGGCCCCCTGAGTCAGGAGTCACTACCGCCGGCGCGGCCCCAGTCCCGCCGCCTCGGGAAGGGAAAGGCAAAGCGCTTTTTGCCTTTCCCTTTCCGGCTGGGGCTGTTGGGAGTCGCTGCCGCCGGAGGCCGCGACTCCACACCATTTTTTTTTTCAGAGGGGAATCTGACTCGAGTATAAGCCGAGGGGGATTTTTTCAGCACAAAAAATGGGCTGAAAAACTAGGCTTATACTCGAGTATATACAGTATATAGAATTTATGTCACGGGTAACATGATCAGTTAAATTTCACATTAATTTCTCCTAGAATATAGTCCTTACCAAGCTATTAGTTTATTGGTCCTTCTCGCTAGTACTATGGTGGTTGGAATTATACATCCTAATACATTCTGGTATTATTTATTGAATTAGCCACAAATGATTACGGTAATAATTAATCCTATCTATAAACGATGATTTACCAACTTGCCCTGATTTGGTTCAACCAACTTGTTAATCCCAAAACAAACTAACAAAGAGTTCAGAGGTAATTGTGGCATAGTACCTTTCACAAAGTTCCCTGTTATCTGAATCCCTTCAGAAGAAAATGCTGAAATGTATGCCATCTGAGAAAGTTTCCCCTTAGTATCCGATTTCCCATGTATTTCAGACAAAGAAACATTATAGTCACAATAACCTTGCACAAACCACTAGAGAATTTGACACTGCTCAACTATGATCAAGTCTATCAACTGATACCTATTTAAGTAATCCAAAACTCTAGTTTTTTGTTTAACCATATATTGTAAGTAGCTATGAAAAAGGCACCTAATTTTTACAGGAAATATTTGATTTTCATTCCTTGATTTTAGATTCTTTTAATGATTGAATGGATGTTTTCTGGAATATTGAAAAAAAATTGAAAAAATATCAAAGATGAAATAATATCCATATTGTTAATGCTTCTGAGGGTTAATGATTGTTAATGACTGATTGTTAATGCTCAGGTAAGTAATCTCTCTCCTACCTGGGTTGTGAATTCTAAAGTT